AAAAAAAGGCACAGCGACAGAAGAGCAAGGCTTACTGGTGACTCGAGGACCAGCAGCACTTCCTGGCTGCTGGGACAGTGCCCCTGACCCCTTCATCACACACCTGCCACATTCCGTGTGAACACATCAAACCCTCAAGCCTGATTAATCACCCTGCCCAAGTGTCTACGGAACACAGTTCACATGACCTAAGAGCCACACGAAGGACCCTCTGAGGTCAGGATACAAGACCAAACAAATTTAACATGCCTGCCACATCCAGCGTCATAATCTGCTTCTAGTTCGGTTAACCCCAAATGTCCAGAGCGTGCATCCCAAGAACCTCCCCCTTCGATGTGGATCAAAACGGTGTGTGTCCAACGAGCTCTGCATCTCCCCCCACCTCTGAGAATATCACGAACCGTTTCTACAAGTCAAATAGCCTTGGGACTGCAGAATCATGCTCCAGACGAGTAAGTCTCTGGGAACTTAGAAGTTTTAATGATTCGGCCATAAATGTTTCTTCACACATCATAAAAAGAAATTTTAATTTGACCTCAGAGTAAGAAATACATTGTTAACTTTCCAGTGATGTTCTAACTCGTTTAGATCACGTAAAAAGTACCACAACCCCCAATGCACTGAAGTGTTTCATAATTAGTTCTAGGGAACTGATGTTCCAAAAAAAAAAATGAACTGGTAGGATTAAATGCACATAAAATTATAAGGTATGCACTGTATTTTATATTGCTGTGGGATCACTTTTCATCCTGATTTCAGAACCTACAGAAAAAAATCTCAAGGGAGGTGTCCTACACATTTCACGTAGGAGAGATTCAGAGACATCACGCGAGGGGTGTGGGATCACACAGCTCACGCCTGGGCTGGGCTGAGAGAAGTCATCACACCAGTGTTTTCCTCTCCTAATTGATATTATTTTTAAGGTTTTATGCTATCTACCTCCTAATTCTCTCAAATACTTTACCACAAAGGCTTCACCGCAAGGTTATGTTATACTATAAATCCCTTAATTCTCTCCAAAACTTTACCACAAACATTTGCATCACAGATCATGTGACTGTTACTACTGGATTTATTCATTTCAAAGCGTACATTTTTAGACTCCTGGCAGTATAGGAAGTTGGACAACCAGGATATTTCACGTTCTGGTCATGTACACTCCTGTTGTCCGGGGAGAACAGTTATTAACCAGAGAAACGGATATGTATTAGCAGTAAGGATTAAAAAGAATGGGAACAACAAAAACAAAAGAGAATGGAGACATGGTTTGCACCTTTTGGAAATTCAGCTGTTGGGCTCAGTTCTATGGGCTAAGAGCGTCCACACTGATTGCTCAAGAGTAACACAAAAATACATGTTAATCTTTGGAACAGTAGCAGTGATTATCAAATTAAAAATAAGAAAATAAATCTCTGTGGTTTGCAGGCCAGTAGGACTTGAAGACTGATTCATCAAACAAAAACCAAATGAGAACTATGTGCCACAAAAGAATTCTGCATACGGTTTTCATTTAATCATTCCACCCACCTTCTGAGGCTTCCTAAGCCTGTTACTGATGACGAAGCCGGGGACTATAGGAATCACAGACACAGTTACACAACAACGCTGAGATCAGAAGCCAACACACGTCTCATTCCGAACATCGGAAAATAGACCACCAGTATTTAGGAATCTGATACATGTCAGCCTTCCCGTCCCTCCTTAAAAATTAATGTTTTGATCTTTCTGGGCCATTCTTGTAACATGAAAATGTGAAACGATTTCAAAATAAAAAAAAAGTTAACCTGCTGCTTCTCATTGCCTTTAGTGGGAAAACAGGAAATGGTTTTCCCTAAAGGGTAAGGAGGTGATGAAGGCAGGGTGCAGTCGAGGCACAGGCAGGCAAAGGGCTATGATAGGCTTCAAGGGAAGGTGGAAGGGAGAGTACTGTGTGGTAATGATCCAGACGTCAATACAAATTCTGGTTCTTTCATCAAGCCAACAAATCCCGCTTCAGTATCTCCTCTGTGCTGGGAACTGGCCACGTGAAGCGACTAAGGAGCCTGCCCTCCAGGACTCAGTCTGGAAGGGGAGAGAGCGATCGTGACCAGCAATACAATACCATACACCGAGAGCTAGAGGCTTCTATACGGCTCTGCAAGCACCGGGGACTGACCCCCTCCCGGGAGACTTAGGGGACACCTCCTAGAGGAAATAACACTTATGTTGGGGTCTCAAAGGATGGGAAACAGTTTTCCTGACAGAGGACAGGGGAAGGACCATCCAGGCAGAGCATATTTCCAAAGGCAAGGAGGTTGTGGAGATCGACGTGCGTCCCAAATATGGAAGGTAGCTCTCTGCTTGCAGCCTGAAATGCATGGTGGTGTTGGTAGAGGCAACAGAGAAACAATGCAGGAGAGGTGGACGGGGACCATGATTCTGGCTCGACCACGTGTGACCTGCATTGTGCACACTATGAGGAGCCAAAGGACTTAAGGCAGGAAGTGATACAGTCCATGATCAGATCACTTGGGTGGCTTTGTGGAAGATGGACTAGAAAAAGCCAGACAGGTGACAAGGAGGCCAGCTGTTTTGAACTCTACTCGGAAGGATGACCCCCTTGCAGCCTGAGTGGTCCTTGGTGACCTGCTCGTTTAGCTTCCCACTGTAAAGTGACAAACTGAGGTCTGGAAAGGTTAAGACACCTGCACAAAGACACCCCGCCAGCAAGTAACAGAGCCAGGACGGGATCCCTTCCCCCTGCCTAGAGTGCCAAAAAAAAAAAAAAAAAAGAGAGCCCTCAAGTCTGGGGTTCCTAGGAGTGGCTACAAGTTTATCCACTTGAAAAAGACAACAGAAAGGCTAGAGAACAACAATCAGTCAAAGAGTGAAGAAATATTTTTACATTGAGCCCGGATTCCTGCTGTCATTCTATACCAGAGCAACACAGCTTAGCTATTGAGTAAAACAAACCAAACAGACAAGGGAATTGAGGGGAAGTGCACAGCCACTTTCTAAATGGACCAAAGTAATCAAACCTTGACTGTCCACGCACGCTGAAATTCAGAGCCATGAGCAAAGTCCTTTTGGGTAGCCTGGGTCAGTTTGTTTCCTAAGAGCAGAGGGTCACTAGCTATGTTGTCTAGAAAGAAAGCCAGTTGGCAAGACAATACTTCAGCCACAGAACTACTCGTCACGCTGTTCAGTCCCCAAAAATATCCAAAGTAACCTAGCGTGATTGCCACTGTTGCTCAAGTGAGATTCTAAGCCAAACACCCTCCCCCTGGAACTTGAGGATAGGGAATTAGGTCTGTTCTCTTTTCCAGAAAACTCAAATCTCTAGGTGAAGCAAAAATGCTCAAGATCTGAAAAACCCAAACACCTTCCTCTAGCCCACTCGTAATTTCACTCCGAAGAGGGAGATTTAAACTGGGAGCTTATTTTCAGGATAGAAACAGGCTTTCAGATGCCTGCATGCTTTCCCAAAGGGCCTCTGAGACTTCCTAACCACGTGTCAAGTGGTGGGGTGTCAGCAGGATCTGGGGCTGCCCTCCTCCCCAGCACGGAGCCCCCATTTTGAGTTAAAGTGAGCAGCAGGCCAAGGAAGAAAGGTATCTGTGTGATTCAACACCCCATTTCGTATTGCACATCCCAAACCGTTAAACGAAACAGAGCACATCATGTCTTCCATTGGCTACAGATGGGAGAGAAACAGCCACAATAATAAACTCACGGAGGTGGAGTGTGTCGTCACACGTGTTGCCAGGATGTGTGATCGGAAGGCGCGTGGGGGGGAGTTAATACCATATGTCACCTGACTCTCGTGGGCCTGCTCCCATGTCAACAGCATCATGTTCCCCCACCACAGCGTCGACACCATCCCTGATGCCACGGCGCTCCGCCAAACCTACATGACTCTTACCAGGTACTGGAGTCGCTGGCGCTCAGTCTCAGGGGTAAACTCTGAAGACATGGGGATGATTTCTCCATTTCTGATGATTATGGCCCTAAAATGGTTAAGAGAAATACGCATTGTCAGTAGCCAATCTCGTAAGTACCTCAATTTTATAACTCTGGAGCTTGGTTTCAAAGACCGAGGAAATGCCCAAGGGACACTTTTTCTAACAAGCTGCATGGCAACATTCTCTTTTCGAGAAAACTCAAATCTCTAGGTGTAGCAGAAATGCTCAACTCTGGATCCCTCACCAAAGGAAACATATGGCTACGTTTACTTTCTCTGCTGGCTGGAACCACGTCTTAACGCCCAGCACCAACCTTCCTACTTGGCACATGGTATACACACTCAGCGAACAAGTAGATGAAATGAATGATGTAAATTGACGCTTCCTCTAGACCAGTGCTCTCCAACTGAACTTTCTGTGACAATGGATATATTTTAATCTGTGCACTCCAACATGGCAGCCACTAGCCACATCGGGGCAACGAGCATCTAAATTACATTTAAATTACATTTCGTTTTACCTAATTTTTAATTAACTTATCTTTAAGTTCAGGTAGTCACAAAGTGGCTAGTGTTTCATGGAGTAGATAGTACAGCTCCAGGTCTGTGTTACGCCAAGTGTCGGTGGGCCGGTAGCACGGGCCTCACCGGGGAGCTTATTAGAAATGCAGACTCCCAGGTTCCACCCCAGACTTGCTGTATCAGAATCTTCATTGTGATTCATAGGCACATTAAAATCTGAGAACACCTGACTGAGACTCATGAGTTTCTAGGTAGTATCCTGGATCCAGGAAAAAACACTCATCTCATCCTGAAGCCTAGGAAATTCACATGCTTCCAAAAATCTGCCCCAAGAGCTACTGCTGACTCAAGAATGTGAGAGAACAGACATCCCTAAGGGAGCTATCTATGGAAGAGGCTATAGCATGGATAACCATGGAGCAACCTTTCCTAGGCCTATTCCAGATGGAGCTTCCTGTTCCTAGATCTTATTCCAAAGTGGTTCCAAACAGCCACTTTCTAGCGATCAATTGGTTGAAGTGGCTTGGGAATTGCATTCGATATGAACTCAACAGCTCCAACAGCTCCAAGTACCAGGGAGCCGGAGACTTGGAGACTGAACACACTTCTCTGTAAAGAGCCACAAGCACGGGAAGTGCCTTCGATGAGCTCAACTCTGGGTGGATGCCTCATGGACTCTAGGGTCAGCTGCACTCTTTGTGCCAAGAGGCCCCAGGCACCCCTCCCTCCCACCATAAACATAGTCTCCAAGGGCACCCAGGTGGCTCAGTTGGTTAAGCATCTTACTTTGGCTCAGGTCATGATCTCACGGTTCATGAGTTCAAGCCCTGCAATTGGGCTCTGTGCTGAAAGCACACTTCCAATGCTCTGTCCCCTCCTCTCTCTGTCCCTCCCCTGCTTGCACTATCAAAAATAAACACTAAAATACACACACACACACACACACACACACACACACACACAAAAGTTAGTCTCCAACACTGAAGCGATCCCAATAAATGCCTGCAGCTCTCCCCCAACCCCTCACCCACCTGTGCCCAGTTGTTGCTGTCATGGAGACTGGGAGGGCAGGTAAGGGAGAGGGTGATAACAAAAATCATGGGGGCTTTAGAGGATTAACCGGTCTAAAACTAGTGGAAACTATGAGAAGATGGAAAATGTTAGGGGAGCTGACTGGGAAGAAGATGTAATATTTGTATCATCACTTCCTTCATTATAATGCCAAAAATAGGAAAAATTAAAAGTTCCTTCTTATAAATCTGTTGTCACTTGTAAAATGCAATTCTCCCCTCCCAAGAAAGGTGATATCCAGCATTCACAAATAAGTGTGTTTATTCAAATGGTCTTTGTCCTAATGTATCAGTTAAGACTAACTTCCAGAATAAGGGAATAAGGGTTTTGAATGAGGATGGAGAGATTTGGCGGCTTGAAAGGAAGGTCTAGTTTAGGGCCTAATCTCACACTAGTAAGAAGGACCCTGAGATCTGGGGTGATGAGAGCGAAAGTCATTAGGTAATAAATTCCAAAGGCAAACTTCCATTTCAAAATTTTGCTTAAAGCTAGTCTTAACTCTTTCTCTTCCCTTTTTCTACATGGTCCCTGAATTCCAGCTTCCAGGCTCTGACTAGGAACGTTGGCTATCTGGGAGGGATGTAAAAGATAATGAGTAAAAGGGGGGCACCTGGTGGCTCAGTCAGTTAAGCCTCTGACTCTTGATTTTGGCTGAGGTCATGATCTATCTCATGGTTTGTGAGATTGAGCCCCGCATTAGGTTCTGTGTGGACAGTGGGGAGTCTGCTTGGGACTCTCCCTCTCTCTCTCTGGTCCTCCTTGACTCATGCACTTTCTCTCTCAAAATAAATAAATAAATAACTTAAAAAGAGAGAGAGAGAGAGAGAGTGAATTACACTTGGGTGGATGAAAAAACTATCCATAGCAAAGGCCTCAAAATTTTTCTTGGTAACATTATTATCTGTAATTGTCTAATTGTATAGAGTCTGGACCATCTAGAATCCATATGCCTTTTCACTGGTTATTACAAAAAGACAATGGATGTAAAAGGATGTCATTCTGGCTGAGTCACCACTAAAAAAGTGACTTGAAAGATTAAGGCAAACTAGGCAGGACCCTTGGGCTTAGTGGGCAGGGAAAGAGAACACAGCAAAGGCACCGGCCACCACTATGTTTACTCTATTTTTTTAATTTCAAATTCACACAAAGGGAGGATGAGCATTCAATTCCAATGTTCACGGCTGAACAATGTTCATTCCAATGTTAGCTCACCCTAGCTAATTACTTTCTTAAATAGATCTTTATATCCAAATCCATCTACGTACAGAGCATTCTTCATTTCTGTTTGAACTACCAAGTTCTTCCTTCATGAGACACCCATGGATTAAAGATGACAGCATGTTTGGCAGTCAGACTTTCCAGTCCCTAAACTATGATGCCTCTTCCTATGCTTCCTGGCTTCCTTTTGATCTTTCTCTCTTTCATCCCTCTGATCTTGGGATCAATGTGTCAGAGTGCTGGTCTCCAATCTGGAGTAGGGCAGCGAGAGGGAATGGGTTTCAAAGGGAACAGAGTGCATGTGAAGGCTGACAAATCTTGCACTAAACAACCAATAAACTAGATTAATGCTTTAAAGCCACATTCTGTCATCAGAGGATCCTTGTATACTTTCTATCTTCTACTTCAGTATTTTATGAACTGTTTTTCCTAAGGAAAATTATTTAGAACAAACAGAAAAAAGCTGTGGCAATAATAAGAATCAAGGAGCATTAGGCATATGCCCTGGCCTTTCTTCTGGGCCCCCAGATCTGGACCTCTAGATAAGACTACGGTCAGATTTTGAATGACATTCCATTTACTTACTCAGAGATTGGCCAGAGATTAAGTGAGGAAGCTCCTAGGGGCTGGGGTAATTTAACCAACTGGCAACCACTTCCTACCTGGTATCCCCTTACCATAAGAGTTGGAGGGTGGGGGGTTCTAAGCGTATTACCCAAAGTTAAGGTCAGCCTTTCATTCACAGAGACTGAAACTGAAATTTACATGCTTTCATTTCTTGTCCGTAGCATAGATGGAAATTACTTGTAACATGGTGAATGGTAAGGTCTAACGTGTTCTTCGGACCCAACTGCAAGGGGACAGGAGGAGAGGAGGTAAAGCAAAGACATTAATAGTTTTTTAAATGTTTTTGCACCCTCCGCAAACATAAGCCACAGGAGAGAATAAACGTAATTTATTGCTGGTGAGAATTTTGAGTTCAGAAAGCAATTTCTTGAAAACTTTGCTGCTTCCATCCTCTAATGTCACAGTTTGGAGTCCAAAAGACCTACCTTTTGTCCCCCAAGTTAGTCAAATTGTTAACTGATCAAGAGAAAAATAAGGGGTCAAATGAGGTGCTCATTTCAAAAATCCACTCAATTTTACAACTTTTCTTACAGGGATCACACCAACTCACGTTAAATCCCACCTCCAAGCAGGATTAACAATCTCCAGGGGCATTTGACAAACAAGCAAAGGGAAAAAAAATGGGTAAAAGATATGATGAAGCAACTGACAGAAGGGAAAATGCAAATGTTCAATAAACACGTGAAAAGATGCTCAATCTCACTCGTCCAGGAAAATGCAAATTAAAGTAAAAATAACATATAACTTTTGCTCATTGGATTGGCAAACGTTTGCTGAAAAATTAAGAATGTGTAATAGTTCAGGGCAAGAGGAAAAGGCCATTCTCATAATTAATGGGAATGTAAACTGCTATACCTTTTAAAACTATTATAATGATGTAGTCAATGGTTCAGTCATCCTACTTTGGGGACTATATTCTAAAAAAATAGAAGATTCTGTCCATAAGATATGTGGACAAAAATTCACACTTGACATTATTTGTTGTGGCAAAGACTGGAAATAGTCTCAATGTCTATCAAAAGGGGAAATACTGAAGAGTTTCATTTATAACCAGTAAGATATTACACAGTCATTAAAAAAATAAAAAAGTTCAGTATGTTTTGTGACCCGGAGGTAACCCTGATGTATTGTTAGGTGAGAAAATCAAGTTGCAGAGTAGTATGTGGTATAACCCCATTTTTGTAAAAACAAAACCTCCATACAGACACCCCACACATGAGGATTCTGATCCCAGGCCCAAACCCGGTGAGCTCCTCTAGGCTCCGCTGTGGGCGATTACGAAGGGGGTACCAGGCAGGTACCACACTGGACCCGGTACACAGCCACGGCACTACAGTATCCACGGGAGCTGCAGGCAAGGGCTCTCCTCTCCACCCTCCCCACTGGCCACGTTTATGAGCAAATCCGCATTCCCAGCCCGGGCAGCTCGGCAGGAGGAGTCCTGGCCCCGGCACCTGTCTCCATTGTGAGTCGGTACTTTTCCACTCGGAATCCTTCCCCTTCTCCGTCCCCCACACCACGAACCCCTGGTTTAAAACGCAGAGGCCTTTTGTCCAGAGCTCCTCAGCAGTGAGAATATTCCCTCCTGTCTGTGCTCCATGTCAACTG